AACTAAAATAGGTTATTTTAACCTTTAGTATATTAAAATACAGGAAATAGTAACTAATAAACTAATAAAGCTACTAGAAATATAAAATTATAAGGAATTTTTATATTAACTTAATATAAAAAAGCTAGTAAAAAATTAATTAAAAAAAGAACAAATTATAAAAGAAAATAAGGTTATAAAGCAAGGAAAATACTAAGAAAAAGGCTATAAAAAGCTATAATATATAATAAGATAGCTTTACTTAACCTGTAAATTAGGCTATAGGGTAATATTAAGATATATGCCTTAGGCCCTTAGGCCCTTAGGCCCCTATATCTCTATATATAGCCTAACCACAGGATCCTAGCTAGAGAATACATACACACCTCTTCGAGCCTAAACCCCCTTTAATACATGCTGCGGGCAAGCCACAGTCAATAGCAACGTCAATAAAATGTCGGATATAGAATCTATCCTGGGAGCGTTTGATCCGAAGCCATCATCACCTAGAATGCCAAGTCACTCCTCAGGTAATTCACTCAAGATGCTGATGGGCAGCTTTCATGCTTCTTTGAGACTATAATAGCAGCTAAAATGTCGGCCCTATGATAAATCACGTTTACTAGATGCTCAGCTCGCCTCATGACAGAGCATGGGGCTTAAGCTTAAGAGAGCCTGAGTCAAAACAAAGCTATGATCCACTCATCATGCCATGGGCGTCGAACTATTGGAAGCATTCTCGAGGCGCGCCAAGGACGTTGAATTGTGCTCGACAGCCTTAACATGCAAGCGTTTTATGATCGCCAGACGCGCCTATGAAGTTCCCGAAATGCTCAATCTCTCATGTGAGGATCCACGATGCAACTCACAGACATTGATCACCACCACGATCTACATACCTAAAAACGTCTAGCATGGCTTCTGCTCGAGGCGAAACAGCCACTTGAACAGCTCCATTCAAGCCCACTATGTAATCTCCAGACCTGGGGAAGCCTGAGTAATTGTTGGGAGCCATCAGGTAAATAAATCATTTCCCCTTACTCTCGACATTATACCCTTTTTGTGGGTTCCCCGAAGCCCACTACGCGCAGAGTTTTCCTTGTGTAACAAAGGTCCAAGCACAAATCGCCACTTGACCTCGTTCGGCCAACGCACAGCAGATCATCCGGTTCTCCGACGCTATTACCGGAATAATGCATCATTCACAGTCTAGCCAATCTCCTAGGCCCTGGGAAGAGATCTCAATGGAACCGCGCTCCGAGTAACTAGCAGAAGAACTAGAAACTTGTCCGAGCGTTTTTCCTCGTGGCAGATTGGCCCAAGTCCGAGGCCCCCTAGGGGAGGAAAGAAAGCACAAAACCTTGACCCTAAGCGATAAAAATGTTTAGGTAAATTTAGCCCAAGTTTAGGGGATCTTTGATAAGTTTATTTTGGCACCCTAGATCAAGGTCCGGTGTTTTCTTGCTGCCCGAGGGCCCCCTGACTCAATGTCCCGACTTTCTGGCTGCTCCAACACAAGCAGGGCTAGCCTCCCCGTCATGAAGATCGAGCTAAGATGGATCTAGATAAGACGCAAATCATTGCCGTGTTTTCCTGGTCACGCCGCTTGGATAGTCTGTTACAGGAATCCCCTTTTGTCTCCATCTCCTGCACTCCACAGACGAAACTATCCCGGTCTGGATTGTTGTCCGTACATAGACTCGTGGCGAGTGAGTGGTGTTTTACCATGTCTGCATATATAGTCGATGGGGTGTTGCCCGCTCGCTCGGTTAGCAGAGAGAGAGAGTCCACTCGCTGCACCCTGTTCTTCTTTCTTTTTCTCTGCCACACGAGCTGAACACCATGGCGATCGAGAGTCGGGCGACGCAGGTTGCTGCCATCGGTTATACTTTTGTGATCCTTTCATCGATTGCGACATGTCTTCGCGTCTACTGCCGAGGATGGGTTGTCAAGGCGTTTGGCGCGGATGATTGGCTTGCCCTCATTGCCCAGGTAGGACGCATTGTCCCTATTGGTAAGACCCTGCTAACCGACAAAGTTTATGTTTATCGTCTATTGCTCCTATGAGATCACTGGTGTCCGATATGGAACTGGACGTCACTTCAAGGACATCGAGCCGGAGAATATCCCCAGAGCGATGCAGATGTGGTGGACATGCGAACCGACCTACGTCTTGACCAACATGGCTATCAAGGCTAGTATTGCTATCTTCTTGTTGCGAATTTGCATTACAAGAACACACAAGATTATCATCTGGACCATCACTGGCATCACAGAAATCTACAGCTTGTTTTTCTTTCTGCTGTTCGTCTTGCAATGTCGACCTACATCGCTCTTCTGGCTTCGATATACCAGTAACCCTCCTGGAGGCAGCTGCTTGGAAGCCTCGGTGATTGCCAAGGCTTTCTATGCGTACTCAGCTATCAGCTGTTTGTCGGATTGGACCTACAGCTTGCTACCCATTGCGCTGGTTTACAACCTTCAAATGAGCAGAAGGACAAAGATTTCGGTCGTCGGCATTCTGGCCGCAGGTGCTATGTATGTGCCAACACTCCTCTCCCCGTTGAACTAGTTTACTGACCTTGATTACAGTGCCTCTAGCGCAACCATCATCCGCTTCCCTTACCTCTACTCCCTCACCGACATCGACGACTTCCTGTACTCTACCTCCGATGTCGCTATCTGGTCCACGGTTGAGACTGGTCTTGGTATTACTGCCTCGGCTGTCGCAACACTCCGACCTCTTCTCCGTAACTTCCTTGGTCACGGATCATCTGCAGATGGACAGGGAAACTCAGCCAGGCCTTGGCAGCGAACAGGTAGCAACCATCCAACAGGAGGCTACCTTCGCAGCCACGGCCAGAACGGCGAGGAGGCTTTTGATCTGCACGACAATGCTGGCAAACGTATTGGAGTCACCACCATCATCGACCACGACGACAAGTCAGACAGAAATGGTGAAACAGGCAAGCAAGGAAGTAGATCAGAAGCTTCTGACTCTGTTGCAGAACTGCATGGCTGGAATAGCAGCCAGTCAGACCTGGCCGATGCCAATGGTCAACCGCGGGCCCAAAAAGGATGGAATGTGTTGGTTAAGAAGACTGTTATCCAAACTAGAGGATCAGACCTTGCATAAGCCTGGCTTGGTCATGTCATAGGAAGATAGAGTAGATATAATTACGAGGCGAGGAGAAAACTTGTTCTCTGTCCCACGATACCCTTAGCGCTTCCCCTTAGCGGGTCGCCAATGATAATACGTTTTAATATTCATCTTCAACACGATCTTCTGGTGATCAAGACATGTGAAAGGTAGGACATCGTTTAGAGTTCATGTATGACGGCTTGACACGCAATATTCCGATCTGCCGCTCGTGCCGTGTCGATCCTCAATAAAAAAGGACTGGTAAATATCCAATGAAACGGGATGGAGATGATATAAGATTCGATACTGTGGATTCAAGCTGAATATCAAGTAAATGAAGTTGCAGATTGAGTTTGATCGGCAATTCATAGTGACCGAAACCATAGATAGCGTCTGTAATCGGACGATCCCACAGCCGAAGTTAGTTTTTGTGGATGAAATGCCGAGCGCATTTGTTCATGATCGACAAAAGCTGAAAGCAATGTCAATGGTTCCGGTATCGAGTACAGAGTAGAAGTTAGTTGTTTGTCGATCTCGAGTGCGTTGTTGCTAATAGTTTCAAGTATAAAAGGTCAGGAAGATTCCCAAGTTCTTTCTCATGCCAGCTTCCTCTCAACCACAGCAAAAAGCCAACAATATAACACATCTATCACACGAAGAGACTTCTATCTATATCCATCATGGCCGACAAGACTGTACTCAACAATTTCCCCTGTGTTGTCAAGTCAACTAACAAGACACGCAGAAAATTCGCTACACCTACCGCGGCTACGAGGCTTGGCAGGCCTCTGAGCCCCAGCTCAAGAAGTAAGTAGTCTGTTATAAGGTAATCCTTATAATTCTAACGAAATCTGTCTAGGCTTATCCAGGACGATACTGGCGTCGAGTTTTGGATTGAGACCAGGTCCATCCCTCCCATGGGAATTCCCCCGTAAGTAACCATGAACCAAGTTGGCTTCTTTGTTGCCACTAACCATCATAAGTCCCGTGACCAAGGATTGTGTTGAGAAACTGAAGGAATTGGATGGTGTTGAGGTCAATGAGATAGAAGAAGATGATTAGTTGAGCCAGGCCATGCCAATAATGTTCTGTTGACAAGTGGCTATTCAAATTCGGGAAGATATCTAGCTAAAACTTATCATGAATATCACATATTCCCTTGTGAAAATATCCGTGCTGAGAGTATGGTAGGGTTTGTTGTTGGTGTCCAGTTCCTTTTCCTGACAGTGGCGCCAGTTTACGCACCCAAACGTATCATTGTAACCATGTTTGAACCATTGGTGCTCGAAAACATCTTTCAAACTCGACATATAATTTTCTTTTCGGTCTTGGTTAGCCAGAAATTATTGAGAACCCTCATGGCTGACTTTTAGCGTGGCGACGGCCACTGTCCGCGGCCAGCTCCCGAAAGCCTCCAGCAATTTACTCTATGGCGGAGCTCGATACCTACCAAGTAGAATGAGCCTAGAAATAGAAGCCCTTGGGCGGATATGGCCGTCGAAAGTTGACTTCAAGTCGCCCACCGATTCATAACTCGTCCTAGCTTTTGTATTTTCTGGAAAGTCTACATTGGCACTATGGCATCGTCAATTCTGTGCATAAGCTCACGAATCATGTTCCAACGTGGGATAAATGTAGGGTGCCTTTCTGACTCTTGGATTCCCCTCCACCTGAATCTCAGCTGGTCACCATATTCGAAGACTGATTTATGCAGGCGAAGATGATGCTGACAAGACACTTCTCCATATCTGTGGGTCGCTACGGCATCAACAAGGTTGTCCCACCGGCTGCAGAGGCGTTGAAGGACATGAAACCAAAGACGACGATCCTATGCGATGGTTTTGGTCTTTGTGGTGTCCCAGACACGCTCGTCAATGAAGTACTCAACAAGCCTGATATCACTGAGCTAACAGCTGTTTCCAACAATGCCGGAACTGATGACTTTGGCCTTGGGAAGCTCTTAAAAAGCAGACAAGTGCGCAAGATGGTCGCATCATACATAGGAGAGAACAAGACGTCCGAGAAGATGTATCTTACAGGCGACATTGAATTGGAACTTAACCCAATGGTGCGCTCGCAGAACGCTGTGCCGCTGGTGGAAAAGGTATCCCGGCTTTCTATACGCCTGCTGGAGTTGGAACTGTCGTCCAGAATGGCGATCTCCCGTTTCGGAACAAGGCCATTGGTTCTTCTGGCGATGCTCAATTCCCAGATCCCAAAGACGTCAAGGTATTTGATGGCAAGCCATATCTACTTGAGCGCAGTATCTCAGGAGACTACGCCTTCGTGAAAGCGTTCAAAGCATTCTCGGACTCAGGCCTTACCCATCCAAAGAACGAAACGAAGCTGATCCAGATTTCATCAACGCTGGTAAAGAAACAGTCACATTGAAGCCTGGTGCATCTGTTTTCAGCAGCAACGAAAGTTACGGCATGATCCGTAGTGGTCGTATCGATGTTACCATTCTTGGTGCCATGCAAGTCAGCGCGACTGGGGACTTGGCCAACTGGATGCTTCCAGGAAAGGTCAAAGGCTTCGGCGGGGCGATGGACCTTATTAGCAACCCGAGCAAGACGAAGGTCATCATCACGATGGAACATACAGACAAGAAGGGTAACCCCAAGATCTTGAAACAGTGCTCTTTTCCTCTCACAGGCCGGGCGTGCGTATCACGCATAATTAGGGACTTGGTACGTTACCATCACAATAATGCTCCTGGGGTATACTAATTCTTCTCAGGGAGTGTTCGATGTGGACTTTGCTACGGGTTTGATGCTGGTAGAGATTGCTCCTGGCGTCACTGTGGATGAGGTCAGGGCTAAGACTGAAGCTCCTTTCACTGTTGCTGAGCCATTGGAGTCGATGACAGGAGTGTGAAAAGCATCATTGGTCAATTATATATGTAGAGGCTTTAAAGCCATGAACTGTTAGCCGCTGTAGAATGATTGCGTGATCTGTTCAATTCGATCACCGCATGATGCTCAGGCTTCTCAGCAGGCGATTCATCAGCTGCCTCCTCTCCTCAGTCCAAAACCCCTGCATGATGAGGTATAGAACGCTCCATTCCATCGACCACCACCACCAGCAAGGCACATGAAGATGGGCAGTGGTATTGAGAAAGAGAAACCCTATTATCATCACCGCCATAGACTCGGACTCAGACAGTGACATGGACTATGGCCCTGATCGTGGCAAGGTGGTACACATGCCGCCACTACAGTAACACAGCCTATCCTTCAATAACGCAGAAAACACCGCTGTGGTTTGTCTAAATAATCATCATGGACAGTGTTGTAATGTTAACAGTAGGTAGCATGTCAAAGCCTTTGGGAGCAGTGCCCTATAAGCGATATGCTCGGAATGACAAATGGGATGTCGTGATCACTCAACACCAACAAAGAGTGATACAAGACGCATGGATTTTAGATGGCCTATTCAGTGTCAGCTAATTGCTATAAAAGTTCATGTGGCCTTCCAAGACGTCGGCAGTTGCCCACCGGTCACTTTCCTCGGGCGCTCTCCGCGGGCCCTCGACTGGACCTGTTCAACTGCATTGGTATTTCTACTTGAAGGCATGAAACCTTGCTAGAGTAGTTTAATTGAAGCTTAAGGTAAAGACTTACCCCGGATGAACTAAATCCCCATATTTAAGAAGGAGATTCCAGCCCAAAGGGCTTGTTTTTGTGATGAATGGGCGTGGGCCCTGCTTCGTGCTAACGTGAGGTCAATGTACTAGTATACCCCACAAGCATTGATCTGCCATGTAAATAGTGGTCCAGAGTTATGATAACCTCCACGATATGGACCTGGGAGGGTTACACCGCGCAGTATCACTGAACAAAAGTGCCGTTCTATCCGCGGGGTAAGAATGAAGCAAGAAGACTGTCGATCCTTCATGATATAGACGAGCGGAACTCTGAAGAAGTATAAATGCCATCAAGGTATACCCTTCATGTGCTGGAATATCACAGAAGACACTCGAGACAAGCAGCATTGATACACCAACCATGGCTACCAAGGCTCTAGCAACATGGGCTCTTGCCCTCCAGTTCAGCAGCCCCACCGAGCCAATCGTCGACATAGCCGTCAAGAGCGTCTACAACTGGGCCGGCTGTGCCATCGGCGGCTACGGTTTAAACCCAGCAGGTATTTCGTACGAGGCCAACGTTCCCTTCATCGGAGCCCAAGGAAGTTCTTCCATCTTCGGGACAGGGAAGTACGTCGATGTGAAGACCGCAGCTCTCATCAACGGCATTGCCTCTCACGCTGATTACTATGAAGATACCCACCGAGGTAACCCTATTCACCTATCTGGACCTGTGTTGTCTGCTCTGTTTGCTGTTGCGGGGTGGATGGCACCTGTATGAGGCGAGGATTTCTTGGCAGCCTTCGTTGCTGGTGTTGAAGCGGAGTGCAAGATTGGTGTTGCTGTTTTTCCCGAGCATTACAATGTTGGATGGCGTAAGTAAACCTGATAAACATTCTCGGAAGTGGTCATACTGACACTCGTCAGACATCACCAGTACTGTGTGATCCGTTGGTTCTGCTGTTGCCGTCGGAAAGGTCCTCGGACTTGACACTAAGCAAATGTAGAGAGCTATCAGCATAGCCTCCGTTCAGGTCATTGGAACGCATGAATAATTTGGTACAGACACCAAACCTTTCCGTGTTGGGGCTGCGGCACAAGCAGGTCTCCAGTCAGTACTGCTCGCTAAGAGTGGGTTTGGGGGATCTCTTGAAGGCTTGGAAGCTCAGAGGGGTTGGTCTCACGTTGTTAGTACCCGCGAGAATCTCACTGCCGAGACGACGAGCTGTTTATTATTTATCCAATCAATCGACCTGATGCTTGTAAACTGACGGTTATTTAATTCGAACATAATCATCAGCCTTATGGGCTAATTTGCAATCATTCTCCATCTCACCTGTCTCCATTATAGGTACTTTGCGTCTTATGCACGCCCCAGAGCTCCAAGGCACTGTCCCTGAAAAGAGTCTCTCGGAGCCGTTGCTTTCCCTCGGTCAGTTCCAGCAAGTGAGACACCCAAGGCCTAACGTCTAAACCCTCAAATCGTGTGTGAGGCCAGTCCGAGCCAAACACAACTCGCTTTGGAGATTGCTCGAAGAGCTCTAGCGCGACAGGATCGAGATCCTCCCAGATATCAGAATCAATATGGCTGAGACGGTATGCACCAGATATCTTGACCCATGTCGTCCCAGTCTTCAAAAGACGGACCAATGATTGGAAACCCTTGATGTCGTAGGGCTTCAAAGGGCTCGATGACTTCGGAAGACTTGGGTCGCCATAGTGATCAAAAACAACGCGCACGCCAAGAGTGGGCAGGAAATCTTCCAGTTCGGCGATGCGCTCCATCTTGGTGTATAACTGGAGAACCCAATCGAAAGGGTTGATGAGATTGACATACTTTTTGATCTGTCTTTTGAGTTCATTGATAGGCGTATCATCACCATACGTCACGAGATTGACACGTACAGCGCGAACACCCTCGCTGTCCCATCTACGAATATGCTCATGCGAAGTGGTACTTGGGTCAAACAGCGCAAGACCCAGCGCTCGTTCATTCCCAACCGCACGCATAGAGTCCAACAAGAGGGTCAAATCATATTCGTGCGTTGCAGTCTGAACGAAGAAGACATGGTCGCACCCGATGCTGTTCTCAAAGATCGCATTATCCCAGAGGTTGTGAACAGCAGGCTTGTAAGGGATGTTTTCGACAGGAGGGTAACGCACGGGATCCATGATGTGAAGATGTGAATTCCAGGCGCCGGCTGGCATTCGTGGGTCGGCGCTGTATGAGACGTTGGCTGCCCTCTTGGCGATTGATAGAGGTGGTGAAGGAGGATTCATGACTGCTGCGTCTGTGATGGCAGCGTTCTGAAAGAGGGCAAGAATTAGCGGCAATGACACTTTCATGGTAGGGTCAAAAGTAGGACAATGTGAACTGCTGAGGGAGCCAAGGTGGTAGTGGGTTAAAATATATATCCAACCTACAATCTGGCGACTCACATACACCGGCTCTACACTTGATATTTCTCAAATGGGCCGTTCAATCGAAACCTCGTTTTGTCGGTCAGTGGGGTAAAACGGGCGTTGCGGTATGTTCCACATGGGGTTGCCTTTCGGCTGCGAAACCAAGAAGAGAGGCACCGCGGGGAACTCCCGGTGCATTACTCAAGAGTGGTCTCGCGTCTGTAAGTTTGGGCATTTGCTTGACATCAATTTCGTCCTAGAGACGCCAATCGTGTTAGGGCAGAAAGCCGTTGATCACGGTGACCCTCCGCGGACTTTGGCCGTCATCAATCGATCAGCGGCGTCAATGCCCCAGCACAGCAATTGGCATCGAACTTGACTAGCACACTGTTGAACTATCCGTGGTTTTCTATCGAACGATCGTTTGGCGAATCCTGCTTTAACCTTGCGTTTTGATCAGCTTGACAGCGCGTACCTGGGGCTTGGCACCAGGGTGTAGCCACCAACAGCTCGCGCCGAGCTCTGATGTCAGAAAATCGTCACCTAGGGTGGTGATCCTTGACTGCCAACTTTGTGGGAAAATGTTGCCAGCCTCGATTGATCTTGAGAGATGCCGACAGGGCAATTGTCAGCCAAAGTTGACAAGTAAGAGTGACTTCGATGTTGGAGAGAAGAACAAGGTTATGAGCTCCGTGAATGTACCGGGGGTGATGAGACCATGAGATTATCGATTTAGTTCTCTCCGAGGACGTGTTGGATCGACGGTAAAGCAAGAACCCTCGGAAGTCTATGAGAAGTGATTAGTGGCATGAGATAAATATTTCATTGACAAATGTACAACCCGCTTGGCTAAATCGATGACAGAAGAGCGATATATCTTTTCAAATGGGCCGAGGTACCACTAGGAGACGTGCCCTTCTTGTGATACCTTTGCGAGCTCACTCGCACGAGTTTTACAAAGGCTTTGTCAACGAAAGTGACTATTATTGTCATGAGTAGGAGACCGCGGTTGAGAGGATTGCGGAACGACCGATCGAGTCGAGCCCCAGGTGATCGAGATCCCGAGACGACAAGGGCCTACATCATACTCTTCACTTCCATCTCTCTGGTCGTTGATGTCCAAACACATCGGAAACAAATCGCTGCCGACTCTCCTCGCTGTTCCTGTAATGTTGGGTAGCCCTTTCGCGAAACGATGCATGATCGTGAATGTTCCCATACGGATTGAGCTTCAACTCGAGCGATAGTAAAATGCTCTTAAGCGGCCGGGCGTGGAGATTTTTCAGGCTGTTGTCGTCATTCGCAGGTAATCGACAGTACGGTGATGAACCATGTGCGCCTGGTGATATCGTTTCCCAAATGGGTTTGAGTACCCATTTGTCGATCGAGGAAACTGGAAAGGAATGAAAGTATTAGTTACCAGGGTGTATACGCCGCGAAGAGTGAGAATTGTTTAATCCTGAGTGACTCACTGTTCGGCCGACATGCAGGGTTTCATGACTATGTGTAGGGAGGGAGAGATAGATCGCTGTCAGTGTCGGATTGCGGCTCAGTTCTGACGCCCGATGTCAATGCTGAGGGATCCCGAAAGGTCTGTTTGCTGGGATTGGACCCCGTCTCGACATAAGCAATAACATCCGGTATGGTGTAGTGGCTAACATTTCGCGCTCTCATAACCTGAGAGATCGGTACCGCGGAGCCCAGGGACCCCGTCTCGACAGCTCATTTCGGAGCCACAAGCTTACATTATTAAGTCTCTCAACTTGATGTGGCTTTCAACCTTTTGTCCCTGCGCTCGGTCTCGTATTCAAGATGGGCGGGTTCGTCGGCCGTGCTGTGGTGATTCGGCGGGGAAGATGAGGAAAAGGAGTTACTGTGCGCTGTGCTCTATTTTCAGTTTGAAGGCCTCTTAAGGTATGGTTGAAAATGTTCTTTTCTTTGAGATACTTGGGGCATTCTATTCAAAAGGTGCTGTTGCTTGTTGGTGGAGGAGTGGACGGGATTTCAATGCCTGTTGATGATGCCTTGCGAAATGATATCTTCTTCTCGGGCTATGGGACTTTGGCTCGAGCGACAGGTCTCATCTAGACCCCATGAGAGCTGATAGTGAGGCTTCCTCAATACTGGTTCGTGAGGGGGGGTGCTGATGTCGAAAATCGCATTCTCGTGAATGGAGTTGTGATTAGTTACCTCCATTACCCCGGGGGTCTCGCCCTGATCTCATTTTTACATGTCTTTTTATCTGCCGTCTGCCCCCCTTGGAAACAGGTTGCCTCTAGGAAATCGGGGATGCGCCCTTCCACCGCAAAGGCTCTTTTTGGACATGTACTTGGACCAACGGCATGATGATTGGAAATTCAGGGTGTGGATGTGAATGATGTTTGTTAAACATGTAGATCTCGTGTAGCGACGGAGCCTGTGCACTTCGGGTGATCAGCCAAAAACAGAATACCAGGCAACTGTGAGGGCAATGAATCCTCACGGAACTATCGGCAGTATTTGAGCGTAGTCTTGAGATTGATGCAGTTTTCCCCAGTTGTGATACATTCTTGGCCTGTTCTCCAAGAGCGGTGATTTGCTCTGGGGCCTGGCCTCTTCGGCGTCTCGGTACATGGCGGCAGCATGGAGTTACTGCGTTTCGACCACAAGTCAACATTGTATTTGCTAAGAGACATAAACTCGGCTTGCTGGGTTCTGTTTCCAAGACGAAGTTTCTCATTGTCGACGCGAGATTGCTGGATATCGTTTCGGAAGTCTCGGTTGTCAGATAGAAGGTTCTGGGCCTGCTGAATCAAAATGGTGACGAGGGATAACCATCTCGTTCCTGAAATAGCCAGTCAAGCTCTTTGATTCCCCGTCAATACTTTGACGCAAATTGCGTGACTCACATCCAACAGTTGGCCAAGGGTCTACAAAGTTGAGTCAGGGGAGCGTATGCCCCGCAAGGCTTGAAACCGCCGCCCTTGGTCAGTGTCCCATTCGAACCCTACACGATGATGCATGACCGTGCCTTTTGGTCTGCATGTGAGCTGGCAAAGGCGCGAGGCTCAGAACACAGGGTGTTTGTGGGACAGAATCATGCATCTGACTCGTGGGATTCAGCGACCGGAGGAACGATTGCATGTAGAATCAAACCGCAGGGCGACCAGAAGATCACACACTTGACTGCCCAAATATCAGAATGCAAGAAAGACTACAGCCCGAAGACGCAGTACTCATCCATTCACGCCAACATGGCCTGAAATCATAGAGGCCGACTCAAGGGAGCTCGCTAGAGCTAGGTTTGTGCCTACACTGAGCCCACGTAGTGATATGTGGCCGGTTTGGGTTCGCAAATTTATCTAGGTTTGTTCCTCAAGATGTAGATGCAGAGGACCAAGCCTTTGTCCCTTCCACCATCCAGATGTTCACATTTCCCTGTTAGTCCAGAGGCAGTAGACGCAGTCACCATCGTAGCATCTCAAATACACCTCTTGGACATCCATTGGAGGACTTTTCTCTTCGCGGCTTATGGACTTGCGATCGGGTACTTGGCAGTGGATAGAGGGAACCGCGAAGGTCGCTGAACCCCTAGAGGTACCCGTTGTGCTCGGAAGACATCCCGCTCACAGGGCTGGGGAGGAAGACCGATCGTGGTGAACAATAGCGTACTATTGAGAGTCAATCACTCACCAGAGAGGCCGCGGCTAGCGGGTCGACAACCGGAAAGGACGGAGAAACATTCCCCTTCTTGTAGTCCCAGTCCTTCCGCAAAGCCTTCGATCGATTCAGCGATTCGGCGCTGGGCTTCGCTGGAATACTTGTCTGTGATTCTTCGAAGTAGAACGAATGGGACTTGGTTTCGGACGTCTTGATTGTTCAAGATGCGCATGGCGTGAGATAGCCGTATTGCAGTTAAGTGATTGATCGACGAGGTTCTGAGCGGATGCGAAATTCGCCGTGATCATCTTTCGCCAACCGTCGGTGGTCTGAATTATCGTGATAGGTGATGAGAATTCCGCTGATTTTCAAGTTTCTTAGAAGGCCATATAGCTGGGCTTTGTCATATCGTCGAGACCTGAGCTTTCGATACTGAACGGTATCACATGAGAGGACTGTGACGATATGCAATGATCAAAGTCGACAGTGCGAGATCGAGGATATGAGGAACAGGGATTGAGTAGTGATCTGTCTCGGGCGCCTTTGTCAGTAGAATAGATCTTGGTCAGTTGCCCGCTGAATATGGTACGACCTTTCTTGGTCAGCCGCAAGTGACTGAAGACCGACGAGTGCCGCTTTCTGAAATGGCCTGGCGCTCCACCTTTGATCGCTCCAAAGTCGGAGAAGAGCCTGTCTCCGGGAGTATTTTGGTGAAGAAGCGATAGCACTGACCAAACAAGTTTGATAATATGTCCCCCCGACGCAATAAGTAGACAGGGTTTGCATCTCCGACTCTTTCCCCAATGAACTCTTTCGAGAGGCTCGCGCCCGTCACGCTTCCACTGTGTTCTCATGAGCAACATCTCCTCGCCGTCCTTGTACCCTCGGTCCCCTCAGCCGGCGCCTGGATTAACGCAGGCAGCTGGGCACGCATACTTTGCAGAGCGAAGGTTTTGGCGTGATATTTTTCAGTGAAAGAGTAGTGGAAAACCCCAACGTGTCTGCTTTTGATATTTCCAGTGAACAATACAGAGCTTGGGTGATCGGTTTCTGGCTGAATGTTGCGAATGGCTCATCGGGTGATTCACACAGAATCACGTCCTCGTTCAGAACACATTATGACAACCTGCGGGCAGAGCTGGCAGAGACTTGTTGCTGATATGTCGGACAGGATTGGTAGCCTGAACCAAGATGTGAAGAACCAAGCAATCGATTACGGGGGGCTGAAACAGAAAGAGCATCGAAAGCCATTAGAGACAGCGGGACAGCAATGGGATCAATACCAACGCGACGTGCGGGCCAGGTATAGAGACTGAGGAGACGTTGGAGAAGATGATTGGATCTATACCGAAGGTCTGGAGACGCTGCAGAGTGATGAGCGACTGAGAGACTAATTTCTCTGTTGGGGGGTCTATAGCTCTGGAGTGTAGCAAGATAATGTCACCTTGACACTTTACCCAGCTTTGTTGGGGTGAATAACACCGGCATTCGTGACGCCCCAAGTAGCGGTACCATTGTACGAATGATCTGCTGTCATATGGCGCGTGGCCTTGAACTGTCAAACGGGCTCCAGAACCTGCCAATTCGGCGCATCCAACACAGAGTGTCTGGCGTCACTGAGGTAGGTGAGAGGCTCTAACCCAGGAGGCATTTGACGAGGATACTGTAATGCTCAATAACAGTGAAGTCGGGGTGACGCTCCATAGCTTGCGCCCCACGGCAGTGAAGGCGTGCGCAATGTGCATGCTCGTGACGTACTTGAGGAGGCGCAGACGCCTGTTGGTCAAATTGAAGTTGGACTCTCGAGGCAGTGTGAGATTGACCAGGTAGACGCCCGCCACCAGTGGTGCGCTAGCGCGCGAGTTGAACTGAAGAATACAGAGAGCGCCGGCATCGTCAAAACCAAAAGAATTACGGAAACCACGCAGTTCCTCAGCGCTGTCCCAGCGGCTGTCAGCCGTGTAGTCAGAACACCTAGTACAGAGACGGGCTGAGCATGTTGATCCATGCACGAGCGAAACTCAGCAGATCCTCGTCGTTAGCAGTCGCGGGGTCTATGATGCGTGCCAGTATAGCTTAAAGAGACATCCAAGCACTGAATCCCTGATGCTGGGACGTCCAAGAAGTCCGCACTTCGCTACGAGCAGTGCGGAAGACGACACGGCCACGCTGGGCACATTCCCCCTTTCGCCTAGAAGGTCGACGAGTGGCGCACCAGCGGGCCGCCATCGAATTCAGGATCCGGAATTTGCCCGCCCTCGCAAAGGTATCGCAGTGCAGTGTAGGCCGCATCGTCGAAGCTGCCGGGTCAGTGTCGCTCGTCTGTCTCAGGAGGGTCCAATTGGCGGACACCAACCAAAGTTGCCTCCAGCAAAGTAGTTTCCGCTGTGCACAGCCTGCTGTCGACAGGGCTCGAAATGGTGACCCAGAACTGCCTGGCTGCGACTTGGGTTGACGTGAGCATGCTAGATGGCGGCAGCAGTGATGAACGCCTGGCCCACGAGCCACTCGTCGATCGCGCGCAGTTTGGTAGTCGTTAATAGTGCGCCGCCGAAGAGCCAGGTGCCAGTGGTCCGTTCGCGAATCACAAGAGTTCGAGTTGAGCCTCCGAGAAAGAGTTGTCGGACATAGAAGTGCATTATATTCAGTGCGAGGGGAGGGCACGCCTTCGCCCCACATTGCAGGCGCAACAGGGTGGTCGTTTTTGCGCCAACAATATGCCAAGGGACCACCAGGCACCATTAGGGACACCAGGCCTTCACCAGCCGACTAATGCATAGTCCAAGGAAGAAATATGGTCGCATAGTCATCGTGGCGATCGATTGTCGTAACTGGGTTAGCGAGCGATGCGACTCGCACGTCCCAACCGGAACCATTGAGACAAGCAGCAGTACTGGCAACCGTTTAGACTGAGAGCACAGTAGCTGCGACACGTATAAGCAACCCTGCAGCGACGCAGTGATATTTTCTGCTTCGTCGATGCCAATGACATGAAGCACTGTTGCAGCAAAGCTTCCAGTACGACGAGCCTCAGAACCGACGCCAGGCTCGATGGACTGTAATTCGCGCTTGGTGACATCCGTGAAGACAGTGTTCTTGACGACAGGAGCCTCGGCAGCGAAAGTCTCAGGCTCGGCGGCTTGACAGACAAAGACGTTGGTGATAATCTGAGGCCGTACAGTGGGGTGAAAGCCAACGGGAAGAAGACTATGGGCGAGAGGTCGTGGGGCAGGTTACCCGAAACGGTCGTCATTGACGCCGTCGCCAGATAGTTCAGAAACGTAGTCCTCGCGAGCAACGCTCACGTTGACGACAGAAAGAGATTCGCGAGATGTGAGTGCGTTGTCCAAATTGCCCAGCAAGCTTTCAAGGGAGCACATGCCTCTAGCCTTCATGGCCGCGGCATTGTCCTCCTTGTCCTAGTAAGACATGATGAACAAAGCTACGTTCGCTGGAGTAACTCCTGATCTCGATCAGGTTTTACCTCAAGCCGGGGTGGAGGCCCTCGACCATTACCGCCACTCCGGGATCTTCTGAGTTATTTGGAATCGCCAAGGTGGGGATGGATCTCAGGCACGATGTAGTTGAGGTCGTAAGCCAAAGGACGACGTGGTAGAGTTCTTGGGTGATGTCGGGCTTCAAATGACTGCAATTCTTGACAGCGGAAAGGTCTGCAATATCATAGGACGACATTAGAAATGGTCATGAAAAATGGAGTCGGCAACGTAAGAAGCTCAGGGTGGCTTGTCGAGAGATCTCGCGCCGAGTCGAGAAATCGTGTGGACTGTTGTCGAGTTGAACGGCATGTCGGGTTCGGAAAGAGAGAGGAATCACGAGGCTGGTAAACAATAGAAGACGCGCCTTCTGTGATAGGATCAAGGCACCGACGCTTTTATCGTGATGCAAGATGAATTAGAAAGAATGGGAGTAAATGCTGTGATGCGGGTCGCCAGGGAATGCCCTCTGGTGCAAACATGAGATGCAGCCACTCCAGCGGCCCCATTTACCCGCGATTTTGCCGACACCTGCTCCATCACCATTTTCCGCTTCGTCCAACTGCTCGAATGTCTTCATGTCAGTAGCATAACATGACCAGGTGTTCGTCTCCCGATATGAGGTAAAAGAAATTAACGATGTTTAAAATTTCAAACCATTTTAAACCACTTTTTTCAGTGTTATGAGTGCTGTGATTGATGTTTGTACTTCCTGATCGACCCCAACCTTTTGAGAAACCCAGCCGAGAAGACCGACAAACTTTAGCGGCATGCTCCTAACCGATCGTCAGAAATACCTAAGCTCGGTCAGAACTCAGGATAACCGTCGAAATTATGGCGATCAAGAGACGAGAACCCATATCAAAAGGGAGTCAAACCACAAAACATCGTCAACTGACGAGTCAACTGGCTGTAAGCACGACCTCAGACCCTTCTGTCTTCGCTAAGTCAAGCATGACAGCGAAATCGATGCAAGCCTGGTGGCAGCCGATCTCGGAATAGAGTCACAAGGCTCAGAGTAAATCGCCCCTCATCCCAGTGCCGACCATGCTTTTCAGATTCTCAAGAAAAGAGAGCGATGGATCAGCCTGTTCAATGGGCGCGATTCAGGATGCTCTTGGATTAAAGAAGCGTGCAGTTGGTACCATCGCCGCCGCTGTCCCCGTTTATCATTCCCGAAGTATAATCCAAGTCAGCGAACTACACAGTACGGACCACATTGAGCAACCATTAATCTTTGACGAGATATGAACCAAGTAACCCATATTCATCTCAATGACCTCTGACTGATGCTAGTCTTCGCACCATTTTGTATGCCGCGTCAAGCCAGCACACGAGACCCCATGACAAACGGCACTTTTCGCATCATTGAACCAAGGAGCGGTCTTACACCCATTTTCGTCTTCTCTGAAGTACCATTCGCCACATGACCCACGCCGTTGTATTCCCCTCATGATTTTCCTTATCACGGGAATCGACACGAAGCGACCGTGACATCTACCAATCAATTCAGTCTCGAGCGTCGACCGTCAGTTGCAGTGAATCGCACCAGGAGAGCCATATCATAGGGTCTCACATCTCGCGACCTGTATTTCATGGTGCATACGAGTGTTGACCTTGGCTAACGACGAGAATGTTAGCAGACACCGATATCTTGAACGACCCTTGATTATATTGTCCCCGAGAAAAGAAACGACCCAACTCTATTCACAGCCTGCAACCTCGTCCATTTCCGAGATTCTCTTCGTCGAAAATTACGCTTTGACCAAGAGTCGCACACCTTTCACAGAGAAGGCATCATGGCACCGCGAGCAACGCAAGTAGCATCTTGTATTCAACTGTCAGTCGTACTACGGAACGGCCTTTGATCACTGAGAAATGATGCCAACTCTCGTACTGTTTTCCTAACACATCGAAGGTACGACACGTCGCTTGTACTCACTCACTTTGATACCTGAGACTTGCTAATCATGATGATGGAATCTTTACTGGGAACAACTATTGAGATGTGACCGAGGTACCATGGCAACCACATCCAACTCCGACAATTCGAATGATTGCGGCTTTCGACGAAACTCTCCCCCAATTCCGTCCGCGCCCTCGATGTATAAACCATTACGTGGTTGATCTGCTGGGCCGCGCATGCTATGGGCTCTGTCGTCACAAAATAGCCTTCTACCTCATCAAAGATATTTCTCGTGAGAGGCGACAAGCCTTCGATCAGGATTTTTCCCGTCTATGCGACTTATAGCCAGTAGTGGTAGATACAGCGCACTATTCGGATGACATATCAACATCCCCAAATATGGGCCCCCATTTCCGCGCCGCCTGTGGCAACGGTTGAAGTCATCTGGGGCGAGGTGAGTGCAGTGCTGATCGCCCACTGCGAAGCCTATACGAGCTTTCAGAGGCCGGGTGACCCCCGATATGGGGCCGATCGACATCCGGTTGCCGGAAAGTCATCTACAGCGCTACTTGGCCAGCAGTGGGACAAGTCAAGGTCATATCCTTTCATCAGTCTCAGGGAAGGGAGACGGAACTCGCATCAGGTCTCGGTGGGCAATACATTCATTCGTCAAACACGGCAGTATTAGCCACTGACGACATTAACAAACAAGTCTTAGGGTCATAATTTTAGATATAGCTCGTGTCTATTTATTAGTAAGATTGTCTTCTTTTTGTTTCCATCATATGATTGGGGCCTTCCCCCATTCACCCCTGGTAGCTCAGAGAGGGGCCCATCCGAGAAGCCTAACGACACAGTGGTCCTCGGCTTCAGAGCCATCAGTGATTTTCTGTTCATCGAGTTTGGCCTCTAATTCGTCGACAAAATCCAGCGAATCACCGATATGATCGTACCAATAGGTTTCCACCGGCCCGATATATTCCCAGTCCTTGAAGAGGGTGCCGTAGTCTTTGATCTCCAGAAATTTCCTGTCGCTAGCATAAAAAGCATTGATCTTCCAGGCACAGCCTGACTCTTCTTCAAACACTGGAGCTTGGCTTTTTCGTTTCAGAGAGCGGTCGAGGAACCAGAGGGTATAGGTTACTCCGACACAGGCTTGTGAAAACGTAAAGATAGCATCATGGTTGGCAGGTCCATCCTTCCACGCCCGATCGTACTCTATTGCGATATGTTCCACACCATAGAATCCTTCTCTTATTGATGCGAGAGCAAGGTCGAAGTCAAGGCCATCCCAATAGATCTTATCCAGGTCTTCATGCTGCACAATAAAGAGATCTCTGAGGGGGAAAACTGTCACTCTTTCGAGAGGAGTACCATCGAAGTAGCCTGACGTGGCGGTTTTGAAGAGTTCTTCTCGGCTGAAACTTCTTCGATGGTCATAAGGATCACGTGGAGCTAATTCTCGTTTTGACTGTTTGAAGTGTTTTTCCATAATGCATCGTGACTCTTGACAGGCGGCCCATAAGCCGCCGTCTATAAGATATGCCGAAATATTCTCGTCGCTGCGATATTCATTCGAGCTCTCAAAGTACCGTCTCCACGAAGGCTCGGTCAAATCAAAATATAAACTGTTCTGAGATTGGAGACGACGGCTTCCGGAAGTTCCGGTCACATATTGTCCGAAGATATGTGCTCCTGGATGGCCATCACGGATGGCAAGGCTCCAAATTCGATCTCGAAGCTCTCGAGGAAGCTCCTTAAATCTTTCGAAAGTAGTCATAGTTAGACAAAGATTTGGTTTGGAATAGAGAGATAATTTGAGAATGAGGTAACGATAAGTCCCTAGTGCGCCTCGACTCTGGGCGTTGAGAATAAATGATCAGGATAAGTAAAGAGATGAGTTTGGGAAACCAGAAGCTGCAGCAGGACGTATTTTTATATCCTCGCCCGAATATATTTTCCGGTGTGAGTCATCACTCTCGTGGCGTAGGTGCTATATTATTTGCGATCAAACTCTTTGGCAAAACCTTGTTGTCGCACACCGTTTTGTATCTTAGCCATGTATCATGTCCATCCTTGAAAGGTAAGAAATGCCTCATGTATATCGGCCACACAGACGGACTCGTAACGTCGAAAAGTCCAGGCTTACTTCATTTGGAGTCTAGCCAGAATGCTGCCTGTACCCAGCGATGTGCCGGAACCACTCAGCCCTCTCTTCTGTTCAGGTTTGGCCGATTCGATAGAGTTCCTTTGATAGAGTCTGGAATCGATTTTCATTGCTAAGCTTTCCTGGTAAAAAGTCTAATATATGATAGTTGGTAATGAGCATCCCGTAGGAACGTGGCCAGTTGCAATTTAGTACCTTTCTGTCACCCCGTGCCTAGACTAAGTTCTGTCCGCTGATTTAAACTCTTAGCCACAAGTCCCTTAGACATTATACCAAATGACTAACTAATTGCTACAGTCAAAAAGGCTAACTGTGCCTGGACTGCAGAACATTAAAATAAATTTGACAAAATCTAAGCTAAACTTGGGAAAGATATCCCAAAGACGTGGTAATTCACTTAATTCATTTTATCATTTAGGATCCAGGTCCTCAGCTTTCTTTCCTCTTCAAGCTGCTTTCATCGCCATGTCAATTCATCTTGAAGTCTCCTGCCTTGTTGCAACAGCGAGGCTTGCTGAATGACAGAATCTTGAAGTGGAAAGCTCATCCAGGGGCTCATTGATCCGAAATGAAGGTGTTTGAGCAGCTCACGCGACCATGCACCTACCTTGATAAAAGTATTTCATAGCATCAAGCAACTACCGGGCAATCTGGGAAGTGACGGTGATGGTTGTGTCGACTACGAGTAAAAGACCACCCAGGTCAGCTCCTTCCTCAAAGACGGAACATCGACACGATCATAAACGGCGGCCACATCAGACTCGGAATTTCTTCTTCTTCAAGCACACACACACACAAGCTCAGTTTGCGTTATTCAGTTGACTCACACATATACATACTGCTATCACGCTTATCACATTTCAAAGTCAAGGTAAGAAACATCCCAACACTGTCGTTAACCAAACTGACACATTCATCAGTTCCAAGTCATTAAACAAGAACATGGCTTCGACTACTCGTGCATCCCTCAAGCGTACACGCTCCACAGCGAGCTTGAACGATGCGGCCCTTGATGTTCTCTCCGACATCTCGGCCAAGTCCCGGAAGATTCAGTCGCTCAGCCCCAACATCCGAAGGCTGGCGGCGAAACTTACAAACCGGGCCCGATGTGCAACCTCCCCTCACGAGCTTGACAACCTCAAGGATTCTTGGGAGGCTCTATCGCTTTTGATCGAAAGCAAATGCGAGGTCAAAGGGCTCAACAGCCGCCTCAATACCCAACGTGCCCACATCAACAAGGTACATTTCGATCTGCACATCGGAAACTGGGCTATGGCAATCCACAACCGTGTAAAGGCCGGTGAGAAGAATTGGGCAGAGACTTACTCCCGCCTTCTACAAGCTCGGTTGGCAGCTAGTGGAGTGCCCGGTCCCACCGCGGTTCAGGTAGCAAAGGTCTTCAAGGAGTTCAAAGCGGTCCGTGACCACCAAACCTCGCAGACTTTGGGTCATATCCAGCCAGAGATCGACGCCGTTACTCAGTGGCACTCTGATGGTACAGGAGAACCCCCTGCAACGCCATATCTGGATCGAGTGGCAGGGCTTTGCGGGCGTGTCGGTATTGAAAGGAAAACATATATCGACATCCTGCATCTTGGTGATTCACGCAATGAAACAGCGCACCACCCTCCACCACGTATCGAGGACCACCTAGACCAAAATGGAAACGTCGACTGGTCTAGGGTCAAAAGGTCTTGTCAGAATCGAAAGTCCCGCTTCAAAGGGCAGTTCAAGAAGGGCAAAATTACCCAAGCCCAATTCGAAACCTTCAAGAACATTATCGATTCATGGTACAACATCCAGGTCAGCGGCCGTAATCCAGACGGAACCGTTAAACTGGCTCAAGGAATGGATAAGGTTATCGAGGCAATGAATCAAGAAATAGCCAAAAATCTCATTCCAATTCCGGTACCTGATAGCCCCTATCAAGAGGGCAAGTGGGACGACCTTCTCAATTAATGGAAGTCTTGCGGCGGGTTACAACAGCTGTCACATCGACCTGACGAGTGCCAAACAAATGTTGGACAGAAGAGTTTAGCATTGAAGCGAGCTCGGTCAGGAGGAGTTCTAGTCCCTGTGCACGCGATGTTTATCATCGGTCAGGAGTGCTAGTTCCGGTTGCTACGATGCTTGTCATCGGTCTGACGCGCACCAGCCCATTGAGGGAAATTGGTCAGAAGAGTCCTTGGCATAGTGCTAGACTCGGTCGGAATAGGCTTGTCCTTATAGCAATTTCGATATTTTATCCATACACTCGTTCAGAACGACGAGGGAAGCTGACCCTCTCTCAATCCTTTTGAGGGGGTTCGGCGGGTGGCAAAGACGGACTCTGCAACCTCCACGTGGTGCCGCCTGGGAACCCGGCCTGGTCGACGCCGGAGCCAAAGCAGAGACGCAACAACCCTCACAAACATTTTGAGGACTCATTACACAAGAGTTCGACATCTAGTGCAGCTCGCTACTGCAATTCTACACCAACAAATCCACAAGAACTACTCTCGAGTACAACAACTTGAGCACGATAACCACGGCTAAATTACTGAGCAATCAATCAATTGAGCAAACCAACTTCCGTGCTACCAAACAACCCCGCATCCAAACAACTGAGCAACTGAGCAACTGAGCAACTGAGCAACTGAGCAACTGAGCAACCGAGCAACCGAGCAACCAAACAAGCAACCAAACAAGCAACCAAACAAGCACCCAAGGCCGATGACACAATGAGCGGAAGGCTCTCGGTGACCAAAAGAGCCATGCGACAGAACGAGCCATGCGACAGAACGAGCCATGCCACTGATGGCTCAACGAATACCAAATGCCAAACGACTAAAAGTGCCATAGTGAATATGGCTGGGTAGGATACATAAAGGATTTTAGATAAGTACCCTATTTCTTCTTCATGGCATTGGCTAACTTTCCCATGAGGATCTGGAGCGCTTCCCCAGACCTCGGGTACGGACGAACGGACGCAAAGGACATAGAGATTACATTTGGCCAAGGTCTCAAGAATGCTAATTGTCTCCAGGTAAGAGCCTGATCATGTTATTCACGGCGTATGACTTTGATAAGCTAATCAATGCAGTGTATTGGGCAGTCGAGCAATGGTTATTTGTCATCGCCTTGTCAACAACAACACAACAAATAAATACAAACATGAGCCATACTTTGACCACAACACACTCCACCCCCTGCTACTTTTGGGATAGCTATGAATTGTTTCCAACGGCCTGTGCCGTCAACTCAGTAAGGGGGATTATTGCGCCGCTCATCGGAGTCAAGACTGATCCCATTACCCGAAAGTTGGAAAGAACTGCGAGTAGTCTGCAATCCGATGGCAGGACAACCAACTAACAACTCACAGCAGATTTCGACACTTGATTATCACTACAAACATTCTAGAAGCTACAACAGTGGCCCCCATGCTATATCCTCGAAACTCCTCCTTGCGTGTACATGGGTCGATATTGTTCAGCGGCTCAGAGAAAGACGGTGGCAGGGTAGAAGAAGACAACGCCGCGTCTGGTAATGGGAAAACTCACACATTGGCACAGTGGAGGCGAGAGACCGGGGGTGGCTGTTACGCCGCAGTTGACATCCATACCATCAGTGCCAATTGATGCAGAGGCCAACGACGCATTGATCACGCCCAGAAACACAGCATTTTCAAGAGGCATAACGCAGACGATCTATGGGGAATTATGATGATAGCAGAAATTGAAATTACGGCGATTCTCAAATCATGACAATGTGACCTTTATTCTTTTACAGGCCTTCGTTATCAGTATGATGTTGAAGTCATCCATGGTGATGTAATCACTTGATTGAGGCAGCCAATCGCAGGTGTCGCACTACTTGCACGTAAGGCTGGAAAACTCTTCAGCGACTACAACATCAAAACCCAGCAGCTTCATTTCTACGGCCTGCAAGCGCATTCATCCCTTTTACCTTGATCCGTCCTGCGTACGAAAATTCTCTAGCTAATAAGATCGTCACGAACAACACGCTGGCAACACGACTCAAAGGCTAAAGCGCATCGTGGCCCGAGGCCGACAAACTCGAAAGACGCCTTACCAACGCTGTTGGCTTACTACAAGCCTCAAAGCCTCAGAGCGGGCCACACCTTGATCTACCCGGCGAACTCCAGCCTATTCTCACAAATGACGCACGCCCACCAACAGGTTATCTCGGTCATCGGCGACCCATCCATGATCCTGCAGCTCTTGACAGGTTTTGCGCCTGACTCTCGGGTCGTCGCAAACTCAGATCCCACAGAACAATCTTCTGACTATTTAGAACGTGGAAGCTTTCTTCGTGGAACACCTGAAAAAGAAAGGGAGGTAAGGCGCGCGTTGAGTCTCAGCTCTGAATAACACGCAAAGCAGATCGAACCCACGAATCCAATCCGGCAATGCAACAACAAGTGTCAACCGTTGAATGCTAGAGTTCTGCACCGTCACAGAGACTTTGAGATTTTCACCTGACGAATAGAGCCATGGCGCTCGTGGGGGCAAAGGCCGACTCTTCCAATTACCCCAAGCTTCCGGCAAGAATCCTCTCACACACCAATGTGAGGCCCAAGGCCTGGGACATTTTCTCCAAAAAGCACGAAATTTCGGAGGCACGACGTGTCAGAAGCAAAAGCGGGACCGCAATGGTAATAATGCAGATACAGGTGAAGGTCGTCGGCCAGCGAATATCAGCGGCCACATCACGCCAAAGCGAAGTTAGCGGTGACGAAGAGAAGAGGATGCGAGGCAAAGATTCGGGGCAGAAAGCGATTGTAATGCCTCTCACATGGAATTTGGCACATGCAGATGTCAACGTTGCTCAAGCCATCCCAACCCTGAGGGAGCAGAGATGCAATCTTGACAGACATCCTTCGCACCTAGCACTTCAATATCCGACCCCCTCAAATCTCGCAGACACCCGTCATACAACTTGAGCGCCGACTCATCTTGTACACAATCGAGACCAATTTCATTTACCCGTTCCACGATACCATATTCTCCTCGAGACGATGGAGAACAATGCACAGAGTAAGTCGCGTGATACCCTTCAGCTCTCAGGCAAACACCGGTTCGATTGACACGCAATAGAAGCCAGATAACCGGGCGAAGTCGGAGATCCAGGCCCAGATCGAGGCCGAAGCCATCATCCTGATTCGGGGCAAACATTCGACATTACGACGAATGAGAGAGGCTCCAACAACTGGGTTTCGAGGCCGTACAGGTACCAAGGCGTGGATGGAAGCGCAAGTCGACTCTTGCCTTGGAATGCAGAGCTTCAATCAGGATCCTCGTACACACTTGGGCCCAAAATCAGGTCGTCCGCTCATGTAGAGGCCGGGAGACGGGTTCCTCGCAACTCTGCGCAATGGGCGCACGCCTCGCTGGTCTTTCATTCTCACTCCGAGGTGGCCGGCTGACACACCGAACGGATCTGACGAAGGCATAGCGTACTACCATGGATGGAATCGCTGCAATGGTCTATTCGGGTGTAGTGTATGGGCTGCCGTTGTATTCCGATTCTGTTGGCTACGTGGCCAGCAATCTAGGTTTCTATACTACACAACGAACGGACCATGATGCTATAAAGATCCTTGGACTCCAGTTTTCGATTTCGATGAGTCTGGTACGTAGCTAGACTGTCTGTGTTCGAGGCAATGTTCCCCCCACCCCAACTTCAAAGTTATGAACCCGAGAATTTTCTTTGCCACATTATCTTCTCGGCGAATTGGGATGGCGATAGATCCTTGTCTAGTTTTGGTTGCTGTCCGAATGGCATTCGTCCATACAGCCGTCAATGCTCGCAATCAAGAGAGTAGGGGTTGAAACTCTTGTGTAGGTCTTACCTTACATGGCATGGAAGATTAGACCTTATATCAATTTCTCAATGAACTACCCCCTCTGAAGCGTTTACTTGTCAAATTGAACTGGTTCTCCGTTTCTTTACTGGTGTTGATTGTGTTGGTCGCTGATGGCAGCCTGATAAGTCAACAATTCCACCTTCGCTAAGCCATTTATATCAGAATTCCATAATCTCTTGAACTTGGGTCCGTGAATTCTGAGCGCACTCTCGATCGTGGGCACCGAAAGCATTCCTCAAAACAATTCTGCGAACTTTGATCGATGGCTTTGGTGCTACAATCAACTGCGACAATCCTTGATACTCCCTTCTTTATTTCGTCGACGCCTAAAGATAAATAACCCTTTTTATATTATTAAATAATTAAAACCCTTTTAACTTTCTATTTTATTTATAATAAAGTCTTAAATAACTTATAATTTTATATATTTAAATTTATATATTTAACTCTTTATTAAGTATATTT